AATTTATTCATTTTAAATCAAATTAAATCATATAAGATCCCAAACTTTGATTACCTAAGATTTTTTGGCTGTTTCAGATCTTAATTATCATCATGATCATCAACAAATTCGGATCACACCATATCATGTACAAAAAGATGGAGATTAGGCAAATTTGGAAAGGTTTAAAGGGTGAATCAAATCAAATCCCAAAGCATTTATGGGAGAAGATTCAAGCCAAATTTGTTACCCTAGCACATTGTACCATACATAAGCAAGCTAAGACACACGAGACAAGGGTTGGAGGCTGTAGAACGAGGCAATACCAAAGTTGCAAAATTCACTAAAAAGTTTGAAATCAAAACCGTACTTAGAGGTAATTTCAGAAGCTTAGACTGATCCCAATCGTTTCCTGGACATACACTGAATCTTCCTGGATCAAGAGCAAGCGTTCTCACATACCACAAAGCACTGTAAGTGTCACGATAATCACCTTGGTTCTTGAATTCGTGATTCATCATTCTTGCATCATTTGAATAAATCATTGGCATATTTATACTCCTTACAACATTTGCAAACGTTTGGCATTATCCAAATGCATTGTTCTGGCCTAAATGAAGAACCCCCCATAGCTAGGGTTCTTCGTTTGTGTTTTAGGGTTTTCTTTTTCAGGAAAAATCAGGACTCAAGAAGGGCATAGTGTTGATCAGGGAGCCAAGACGAGTCCAACCATGGTCGTGGAATTTGTTTTCATGATCTGGAATGGATTTTAGAGCAAGCTTGCGCATTTAGCCGCGGATCCAAATCCGCAGGTAATATTTGCAGGATTCGGAGGTAGGAGACGACGAGCTGTCGTTCTCCCATTGGCCAATTCAAATTAATTTTCGCGCATTTTTTATTTTCTGGCATATAATTTGTTTTGTTTATATTATAATTCCTTTGTATTATACTAACAAACAAGGACTAGTGGCCTAGTGGCAAGCGTGTATTGGTAAGATCCATCAGGACCTGGGTTCGAATCCCAGGTCTCCCACTTTCCTTCATAATTTTATTTTTCAGGTAATTGAGTGCATTTGCCTTGCTACAACGTACCATACACCTTCAGGCATCCAATAGCCAGATGGCCAAAGGTCAGATCTGGTGATCCAGGAGTGAGGGTCTACCATAGGCAAAGTCAGTGCATATACACCTAATCTGCAAAGTCAACAAGGCCAAATCCAAATGGACTTCAGGATTACTAATCACACCACTAAAACATGTCCAAAACCCCTTACTCTCTCCTATTTATTTTTTGTTTTATTTAATTGTTTTATTATATTTTATTTAATTTCTAACCAATTAAAATTCAGCCTTTTTATAAAATAAAATCACCAAAAATATTTTTATCAAATTAAACTTTAACTTTTATTTTTTATTAATAAATACTAATTAAATTAATTTAGGTTCTTAATTAGAATAACTTTAACATTTTTGTAAATAATTAAAATTAAATTAGACTTAATTAGGGTTTTACTAATTCAATTAATTTTATTTTCTTTCTTAAAATAACAAAAAGGCCAAAAATAATTTTTTTTTATTAATTTATTTATTTAATTCAATTTAGTAATTAATTTAGTTAATTTCTTTCTTAAAATAAAAAACAAAAAAAAAGATCTTTTCTTTAACAAAAAGGGTCAAAACCCTAGTTTGCGCTCGATTTAATTTTCCGCATGCGATTTATTTTCTTTTATCCTATTATGTATTTGATTCTAGTTTGTAATAGTACATAGGATCTTTATTTATTTTTTATCGCTTTATTTATTTTTAAAGGGTCTGTCTTTGGCGATGTAAATACCCGACGCCTTGTAATTTAAATTCCGCAATTTATTTTCCGCAAATTATAACTGTTAGATGTTTGATAATAGGGTTGCATGACAAGACTGAATGTTTTAACCTAAAATCAACTTAGATCACCATCAACATGTACAAAGATAAAATTAACTGAAAACGACACACTCGCACATGCGCACTCCTAGGGTACACCCCACTTGGTTGCCTTCGTACACGGTCATTGAGTATAGGTAGTTTTAGAGGTCGCCCTCTTGTCTAAAAGATCATAGTCTCCTCGAAATGGTTGCCTCGAATATTGTTTCCTCAAACAAATGATCTAAGATATTAGGGTTACCGCTAAGGCATCCTAACATTGCTTTGGTGACCGTAAGTCCCTAAATTCGAATTGACCCTTAAACTCCAACGATGGTGCTACCTACTCATCAATAGTAGGATAGCATTGTCTAAAGGAAATTAACATAGAACGATTCCTTTTTCGAGTAGGTAGATGGTTCTTAAGTACTTGCTCTTTTAAAAACAAAAATCTTTTTCACACTTACACTTTTTTCGAACAAAGTTTTCAAAAACACTTCATACACTCTTGAGGACAGAAGCAAGAGTTAAATTGAAGTTTCAAATAAATTTTTTTTCAAACCCACAAGCATAAAGAAAGCAATATTTTGAAAACAATTGAGCAAGTACCTAAGAGCCCGTGGATAACCACGGATAGAAAGGGTGCTAACACCTTCCCTTTCTATAATCTACCCCCCGAATCCGAGAAATAATCTCGAAAAAGGAATTTTTCTGTGCTTTTTTTCCTTTCCTTGTTGGATAAAATAAAAGTCGGTGGCGACTCTTGCTTACCGCGATATTTTGCGAATACAAAACGCAAAATGCAAACCAGCATTCCAAAAAACAGTCAGTTCTTCCCACCGTATCACAATTTCCAAGAGAAATTTCATCTTCTTCTTTAGACTAATCTTCTTTTGGTTTTAACTTAGAAGTAGGTTCTCAATTTTCTCCCAATTTGACAAGGTGTTTCCATCCTTTTAAAACAAGCTTTCTAAGCCCTGCTGTCAAAAGACTTTAAAAAGGCAACTATACATGGTTTCCAGTAGTCATAATTACTTCCATCCAGAATGGGTGGCCTGTTTACAAATCCTCCTTCCTTGTCTATAGTACCAGAAAGTATCTTCCCTGAATCTCACCCAGATAAAGAGCAGGATGTTTGCTCTGATAGCAATTGGAATTCTGATATCAGATATGTGATGTCGAATGAGATGTCACGATACAAATATTTGTTTACAAGTAAAGAGCAGTAATAACAAAAGCAGTAGAAACACAAAAGATTGTTACCCAATTCAGTGTACAATAACACCTACTCTGAAGGTTACCAAGGCAGGGACAAGTCCACTAAATAGTATCAATTCATTGACCCTCAGTAAACAACCAGTTTATGATCTAATCACTTAATCACTACCTGTGTTATACTTCTACCTAAGACTCACCTAGGTATGAGGTCCTCCTCAAATCCCTTCAATCACTTACAGTGAAGAAACAACAGAAATAATAAGTTTAAAAACTTCAATCATTCAATGCTTAAAAACTTATGAATGATACACAATTAACAACCCAAATAACAACACAGGTATTCAATCAATACTAAAGTATTTGACAATTAAAAGACTTAGATTTTTTAAAACAGAAAGAAAGTATTCTTCTTCAAAAGTTGCAGTCGTTTGAATAAGGAAGCAAGTCCTTATATATGCGCAGCTGTGGGCTTGAGCTTTAAAACCCAATATTCAATTTTTTTGAATATTTCCATAAAAACAGGTCAAGATAAAATTCATGCATTTTGAAAAATATTTCTCCATATTTTTCGTTGCCTGTGAGTTACAAATCTTGAATTATGGAACGCTGGAAATCAGGAAACAGAAAAACATATACTGATGTTGGCTGAGATCAGTTCAGGAGGCAGATGTCAAAACATCTGCTTTGACATCATTCAAAACAGTTTACTACAAATGTCGAGACTTTTACCAAAACATTATCAGCATATTGTTTTACCAAAATTGTTGCCAACAAACATTTACACACTCCATATAATATCCAATCGTGTTTTTCATGAGAGGACAATACATCTTGAGATTTATTGCCATTAATTAAGAGGGAAAATTCAAATAATAAATGTTGATATTACTACTTATCTCCTCTCAAGAGCAACTCGCAGATTTCCTCACCAAATTCTTGCATCCAACCAAGTTCAACTCTTTTATTTTCAAGCTTGGCATGTTAGATGTTTACTATGATTAAGAGTGAGGGGGGATGTTGAAAATATACCAGCATAGCTAGAAGAATGAGTTGTTGTGAATGATGGAAGCTTCATTTTTAGCCATTAAACAAACTTGCAACTGGTTTTCAAAAGTTAGCCAAGAGCTTTCCATTTCAGACAAGTAGTTAGTTACAGTTTGTGAGTTAGTTTTATGGCTTGTAGCGTAAGCTATATATCATTGTTGTATTGATCACAATCATTCAAGCTTAATGATAGATTTTCATAGCTTTTTTCTCTCTCATTTCATGTTGATTCTAATAATGTTACAATTTGCAAAACAGAAATTTGGAGGGTATAACTTATAAGTCTTCATTGACAATTGATTTGCTGAGGTGCATGTTCTAACATGGACCATGTGAATGTAATAAAGCTCTTGAATTCTTATCCAAAAATAAAAAGAAAAGGATATGCACTTTTTGTTGCAAAGAATAGCTTAATAACAAGATTGTTAGATTGCGATAGTTATGATTTCTCTTATTTTAATTTCTCTCTATTGTCACTCTGTTTTAACTTGAGGCCAGCTTGTACTCAAGTTATTTTGCATTTTTCTATTAAATCCTTTGGTTTATGTTAAAAAAATAATTCAAATAATGCACTTCTACTGCATAAAAAAAATGTAAAAGGTGCCTATTTTTTCATCAGAGTTACAATTTCCTTCAAGGAATATCCACACACAAATTTAAACAAGAAATTGACGTTCAAATATCATGCAAGTTTTGTCATAAATTTCAATGAGAAATCATTGATCAAAACAATAAGCGTGATTTTTTGAAGGCAGTTATGCTCTTAGAAGTCCAAAAATCACACATAGCCTCAATTGTTGTCCCTGCTATATTTACAAGAATATGGTCTGATAGCAATGCTTACTCCGAGCAGCTAGCTACTTTGAATCGCAGAGGCCTGTTGATTCATCGCAAAAACCATCTCGATCAAGAAGTTTCTGTGGTGGAGCACTCAACAATGGAGATGATGGGGTACCATAAGCATTTCGTCGTTTGTTCCCACAACCTAAACTCACTCTAGTGCTTACTCCTGTTACAGGATTTGTGCCACTAGCATACTTGCATAAAGCCTACATAATTTAATCAAATATCATTCATCATCGTCTGTCATAATTCATATTTGATAAATTCTACGCCAAAAAATCATTTTGACCACATCGAAACACATTCTATTCAACATTAATTGAACAAGAAGATCGATTAGTGTTCGATAGAATCAGTTGTCAGTTGTCGATTGTACCAGCTTTTGTGGAAGATCCAACACAGCATCACTAAAGTCAGCACCTTCAATGACAGCGCCTCCAAGATCACTCCGTGTGAGGACTGTTCTGGAAAGAATCGCATTCGTGAGATTTGCTTCATTAAGAACCTGTTAAATCCCAAACAAGAAAATCAAAAGATAGAAAAGCATGCTTATAGATAAAACTAATTTGTTTAAATTGACGTAGTTAGTTACCATTCGATCCATCAACGTATCACTCAAATCAGCACCTAAAAAATGTCGCACAAAAAGATTCAAAGAAATTATAATACATCGTAAACGCATTAGGTATTTTTTACATATAGAATTCACTAAAAACCTATACCTGTAAAATTTGCTTTGAATGCAACAGCTTTTTCCATGTATGCACCATTGAAGGTAGAACCACTAAAATCAGATTCTCTCATATCAGCAGATGTGAAATTGGCTCTTCTGTATCAGTCAATAAATTCAAAATAATTTACTATCATGTGACGAATTTCATAATAGAATGTTCGAATTTGTAAAACACGAAATTACCTGAAATTTTCATTCACATGCACAGCTTTTCTGCATGATAAAAACCCTAATGATTTAGTAATCCTAAATATAGTAATGATTAATTAACTGTTTAAGTGAAATTAACAACAAACCTAAGATCTGCTGATCCAAATTGTGCAGCAGATCCAATACCAAATTCACCCCTCATTTCAGCCTCAAATTTGTTAAGATCAGCAAGGGCAGACATGTCAGAACTGAAAACAATAACAGCAGCTGCCAATGTTGCTGAAAACAGTTTCCTCCATTTCTTGTTAGATTCTACATTAGTAACCTAAGTCATCATTGCATTATTACAATTCTAATTTTTTTTTCTTTCACCAATGAAAATCTAAAGAGAAATTAAACAAAAAAAAAAGTAATATATATACTGCTTACCTTGTTTGAATTAATTTTGGAGATAATTTGAGAGGACTTTGAGTGAAAATGAAGAGTGTTTGAAATCTTTGAACTTGAAGGGTAAGAAGAAACATGAAGAGAATTAATTGAAAGTGGTGTTAATGAATTAAGTGCCATTATCTATAAGGAAGATAGATTGAACAGAAAGGTTAATTTGATAATCTAAGGAGCAATGAGGAAGGAAAATCAAGCTTGAAGTTCAAGAGTTTCAACATCAAGTGTTTGGTGGTAAGTATTAGAACACGTGTTCAAGTATTATCCGGTTTCTGGTACCGCCACATGTCATACATTGGTTATTTCTTATTTTCATTTCAAAATCAATCAAATATGTTTTTTGTTTATCACTAGTAATAAATCCGAGGTTTCGCATAGTTATTTTTAAAATATAATAAAAATATTAATAAAAAACAAATTTATTTTTTTAAAATAACTTATTACTTTTAAAATAAAAACATAACTGTTTTATTAAAGTTGTTTTTCATCAATAAAATAAATTTTAATTTTTTATATATTATCTTAAAAAATATTATATCTTAAATTAAAAAAGATAATCAATTTATAAGAGATAATAGATCAGTTTTATAAAATTATTTAATTAAAATAATTTATTATTTTTAAAAAAGATAATAAATCAGTTTCTATAATTTCTTTAGTATATAAAAATATAGAACAATATTTTGTAATGGTTACCCGTGCATTTGCAAGGAATTTGATATAATTACTCGTACATTCATATGATATTGGTGTGTTATCAATACATTTACACATATACTGATGTGGTACAATGTAATGTAACATTTTTAATAATTATTGAAAAAAATATTTGAATGCATAATTAATGAAAAAATATTTTGATAAGTTATTTCACGTTTTCGTTAATATTCAACATTTTGATAAGTAATTTTATCTTTCTGTTAATATTCAATATTTTGGATCAGTAACATCATATTCTCGTTAATATTAAATATTTTAGATCAGTAATATCATATTTTCGTTAATATTAAATATTTTGATCAATAATTTTATGTTCTCGTTAATATTTAATATTTTGATCAGTAACTTCATATTCTTATCTCTGAAACATGAATACTTTTAAATTGATGAAGTATCAATATCGGGCATGTATCCGTATTGGATATACGTGTGTTTGCACATATAATAGTGTGTTACATGTACATACGCATGAGTATTGATCTGTTATGCGCATTTATTATTCAAATGTAATAAGAATGAAAAATAAGAAAAACAAAATTGTTTAACTAAAATAATTTATTATTTAAAAAAAAAGATTTATTTTTATTTTTATTTAAATCATTAAATATAATTTGTTCATATATAAAAATATTTGAATTAGTAGTATATTTTCTCGTATGTAAATATTATTTTTGTTTTGATACTTATAAAAATATTTTGATCAATAAAAAATTTATTCTCATTTACAAAAAAAATGTATTCATTAATTTAAAAATATTTTAAATAATTTTGTAAGAACCATATTTTTTTTAATTTACATTAATAACATGAAATTAATAAATTATGAGTTCTCTGAGTGGCATAAAGTTGAAAGTTAGTCAAGTGGATAGCATTGTGATATAATATTTTATTAGCCATTATATGTATGTGTTTGGTTCGTTGTGTTATGTTTCAATTTCTATAAACTCAAAATATTTATGTTTGGTTCGTTGTGTTATCAAAATATAATAATGATGTACTATATCCGTATGTTTATATAAGTATTGGCATGACGTGTTATGTGCATTTGTTTCAAAAAAAATTATAGTTTTTAAAAATGTAATAATGACAACATTGTATTATCAATATAGTTAGTGGTTTCAAATATGTAATTTGTTCAACAATTTTGTTACATAATAATAACATTGTATTAAAATTACTAATATAGTTAATAAAGTAAAAAACTTAACATAAATTTAAAGATCATTTTTACTGCATAGTAACCATGAACACGGACTGCCTAGCCTTGAAGATAAGATATTAGATCTCTTTGAAGTTAACACTACAGCTTTTGAAGTGGTGTCAATCCTAGCGTGTGACTACTGCATTAACAAAATACAAGTTTATTTAGAAGCAAATAGTAGTTAGATGTTGAACTGTCAACTTAAGCATAGAAATGACATATATTTTCATTAAAGAGATGTTTTATTTAAAGAAAATAATATATCATAAAATTTTAAGATATCACCACATTCCTAAAATGATATTGTGCTTGTACTCTCTTATTGTTGATGTTGATTTTTAATCTACAAAAGTATTTAAGATCACTCTCTTTTCATTTTCTTTCTTTTCAACTTAACAACAACCTAGTTTAAGAATACCGGCCAATTTTATGAACATGGTCTTCAGTCTGAATTAGATCACCAAGAGTCCAAGACAATGTTAGCCTTACACCTCTAACTTTAATAGATAGCTGCATGACAACAAATGAACAGAAAATTATTACTTTAAATTGAACCAGATTTTACACCAGAACAGATGAAACATAAAAATGATTACAACAAAACATAAGAATGAAATTGCCATGTCACTAATGCCTTAATAGCATCTTTCCGCGAGTACAAAATACTTAAGCAAATATTGGTAAGTACATATAGAAAAGGCAAACCATAGCTTGGATGTGATCTACAACTCTTTGCGCTTAACTATTCCATCAGCAAACAACATCTTTAAGGACACACCAATCTACACATAAAATTTACAAAAAAATTAATAGATAAAAACAACCACAACGAAGTATTGTTAAATTGTAATTCAGTGTGTCAAAAGTATGTGTCGAAAAGATTAGTTTTGTTTAGATTTAAATAGATTTGATTTAAGTCTAAAATATATTATATTTGATTTAGTAACAAAAAGATATTTTTGGCTTTGAATTTAGGATGTAAACTCAGTTATAAATAGAGAGACTAACCCATATTTTTATAAGCAAGTCAAGCAAGACATTCACAGTATTTTGCAGTTGCAAAGTGAATAATAAAGTTTTCACAGTTTGTGAGCAGAGAGAAACTCTGCAGAAATTATTTGTCTTGTCTTCTTTCTTTGTTTGTCTCATAATTAAATTGTCATTATGGTAGAAATTCATCATAGATTTTAGTGGATTTCCAACATCTGGTATCAAGAGCTTTTGTTTTGATTCAAGGGAAATATCAATCAAGAACGATTGAAGAATTCGCGATGACAAATTATGGGAATGTAAATTATCCAGCAACTCTACCAATTCTAAAAGTAGACAACTATGAGAATTGGTGCAAACAGATGAAAGTCTTAATCAGGTGTCAAGGTCTTTGGGATCTTGTAAAAGATGGAGTCGAAGCGCTTGGAGAAAACGCTTCAGAAGAAGAAAAGAAGAAATACACAGAATATGAGAAACTGAGCTATAAAGCATTATTTATAATTCATCAATGTGTCAGCCCAGACAATTTCAAAAAGATTAGTGATTCAGAATCTGTAAAAGAAGCTTGGGAAATCCTTGAGAAGTCTTTTGGAGGCGCTGAGAAGGTGAAAGAAGTGAGGTTACAAACTCATAAAAGGACATATGAACTGCTTCAGATGGAAGACAGTGAAAGCATGTCTGATTTCTTCACTAGAGTTATAAAACTAGTAAATCAAATCAAGATATGTGGAGAAACGTTAACAACTAGAGCTGTTGTTTCGAAGATCTTGAGATCTTTAGCTCCTAAGTTCGACCACATAGTAGTGGTGATAGAAGAGGGGAAAGCCTTATCGAAATTGACAAAGGAAGAACTTCAAGGGATGCTTGAATCTCATGAACAGAGAATGAATGAAAGAGCTGCAGGAAAATCGGAGAGTGGTGCGGCCTTGCAGGCACATTCAGCAAAAGAAACCAAAGGCAAAGGAAAGTGTTTCGACAGATGTATAGGTGGCTACAACAAATTGAATGGTAGAGGAAACCAAATCGAAGGAAACATGTCAAATCAAAGAAGACCATGCCAAGGCAACCAAAGAGGTGGTGTTGCAAATAGAGGAAGAGGTGGTCGTCGAAAACCTGATAAGAGTCACATTCAATGTTACAATTGTCAGAAGTATGGACATTATTCGAGTGATTGTCCAGAAAAACAAAAGAATCAAGAAAGTGACGCAAAGCTTGCAAAACATGAAGAAGAAGAGATGATGCTGATAGTCACAACAAGAGATAAAGATAGATTCAAGGACCAGTGGTACTTGGATTTAGGATGCTTATCACATATGTCTGAAAGGAAAGACTGGTTTGTCAACATAAAGCCCTCAATGAAAAATATGGTAAAATTCGCAAATAATAATACCCTAGCAGCTGAAGGTATCGGTAATATTATGATTATGATGAAAGATGGCAAGAGGTTAGTAATTTCCAATGTGTTGTACATACCAGACATGAAGAGACATTTGCTCAGTATAGGGCAGTTGGTCGAAAAGAATTATAAAGTGTTGATTGAAGATAAGATAATGAGAGTCATCGACATAAATGGAAGATTAATCTTGAAGGCTCCTATGTCTCATAATAGAACCTTTAAGATCGAACTAAATGTGATGGAGCACAAGTGCCTTTCGACTGAAGCTAGCAGAGATGAATGGATATGGCATTATAGACTAGGTCATCTCAACTTCAGAGAAATCATAAATTTGAAGAGAAGAAATATGGTTTTAGGATTTCCAGAAATCGACATTCCAAACGAGGTATGTGAGGAATGTGTGCAGGCGAAGCAACACAAGAATAGCTTCAGAAAGGATGCATGAAGCAGGTTGAAGGCTAGTCTTGAAGTCATATACTCTGATGTATGTGGACCAATCCAGGTGGATTTGATGGGAGGTAACAAATACTTTGTCACATTCATAGATGATTTTAGTCGAAAGTTGTGGACTTGTCTGATCAAGAAGAAAAGTGAAGTGATTGAAGTATTTGCAAAGTTTAAGTCTATGGTCAAAAGACAAAGTGGTCGAAAGCTCAAAGTTTTGAGAACTAGTGGTGGTGGAGAATATGTGTCGAAATATTTCGACAGGCTATGTGAAAAAGAAGGAATTATGCATGAGATGGTGCCACCCTATACTCCACAACAAAATGAAATTGCAGAAAGAAAGGATCGAACCATCATGAATATGGTGAGAAG